AAAAAAAAAAAAAAAAATCAGGTGCTTGATAAATACCAGCTGAAGAAACAAAAGCCCATGACCACCACCATGCAATCAGTCATACTGAGCACTGCACAGGCAGAGGAAGACACGGGCAGACTTCACCCTCTAGGAACTTGTGATAAGCTGGGATGATGGGACCTGTACAGCCAACACCCCCTCAACTCTCATTCATTCAAGGCCTCACCACCCTCACCACAGAGTAATTTAGAAGCGGGCTGCTCCCTAAGGAGCCTGCAGCACAGCAGACCTTCAGTCTCCATCCTGGAGAAGGGCAAAGTCCCACCTCACAGACAAAAGGAGTCACTGAAAGCAGGCACAGGGAGCCCAGCTGCCTGAGTGATGGTCTTAGAGCACCACTCATGAGCTGGTGACCTTGAACAAGTCACTTAGCCCCTCAGGCCTCGGTTTCCTCCTCTGTAAAATGGGAGATGAACTAATCCTCCCTCATGGGGTTGACATGAGGAAATAAGTGTTAGCTGTGATGATCACTTGGCAAGCTCTTGAATTAAAAGAGAGGCTGAACCCTCTTGTCACCCTGTCACACCCCTTGCTTCTTCTAAGGCTCCCAAAATGGGGTTTGTAGAGGGCTCTGACCTCAGGCTCCCATGTCCACTCAGAACAGTGTAATAAGCATTCACCACAATTTCCCAACCACAACAACCATCGTAGTAGCTAAGACCTGGCAGGAACTGGTCTAGGCCAATATCAACCCTCTCCAGCACTCAGCCAGGCCCCTCCCAGGAGCCTCTTTCTCCCTGCCTGGAAACCAGTGTGCTTACCTTATGGCCATCTTTCTGGAGTTTCTGGAGGACCTTCTTGAACCCCAAGAGGCTGGGTTGTCCCATGCCAAACACAGCAAGCCCGCCCTGCGCCTGCCGGAAGTTGGGAGCCCCACAGCTCCCCACAGTGCCCAGCACATCCGTCTTCTCAGTAACATCCCGCACCAGGAAGTAGCAGCCCTGGCAAGTGAGAGCCACAGAAGGGTCACCCAGATAGCTCAGAGGCGTCCAGGCAATAGGGAATAGGGAAATGGGGGTGAAAGGAACATGGTCCTGCCCTCACATTGCCTAGATCTCATAGGAAAAACAGACAAAAGGCTCGGCACCTGTGGCTCAAGCAGCTAAGGCGCCAGCCACATACACCTAAGGTGGCAGGTTCGAATCCAGTCCAGACCCGCCAAACAACAATAATGGCTGCAACCAAAAAATAGCCAGGCGTTGTGGCGGGTGCCTGTGGTCCCAGCTACTTGGGAGGCGGGAG